AATTTAAGTCACTCCAAAGAGGATAAAATCAGTCAAGTGGGCATGCCAAGCAAGTGAAATAAGGCCAGTTGTTCAGAAATCAGTTTATAATATATGGTAAACACACATTAATGTTGTTTTTTTTTTCTTTACAGAATTCATCTAGAAATTCATCACAGCAAGACTGTGACAAACTACTTTCCAGAGAGAGTACAAAAGACTAACCAGTAAATCCAGACTGAAAGGCTGACCACTGGACACTTATTTTCCTGACAGGATAATCTCAAAGTGAAGAAAACAACAGACCAAATCTATCCAATTAATTGACAAGGGCCAAAACACTTCAAAATCACCAGCCTAAGATGATGGTATCTAATAACTTGACATCCTAACAAGTCAAGTATCAGCACAGAAAGTTCAGGATACCATATAGCCATTTCAGCTCTAAATGTAACATTATATATTCTACTATTTTCTTATGTGCCTCTCACAGGTTGGACTATCTGCATCATAAATCATAGTTAATCTTGTAAACACCAGTTTCCAAGCACAACAAATATCAGATTTGTTTGCCTTCCAACTAGTAGACTTTCAGTGTTAATTACTTAAAAAAAAATCATTATTCAAAGCACGGATATGTCTTTGTTACTCACAGGATATAAGCCACCAGAAAGGGCCTTTCCAAGAAGAACTAGATCAGGTCTCACATTTTCATGATCAACAGCTAGCATTTTCCCTGTTCTGGCTAAACCAGTCTGTACTTCATCAGCAATAAACAGAACCTTTATAGAGACAAAAAGAAGAAAAATCAACACATAATAAAGACTTTCACACCCATTTCTAACTCAATTCAGACAATATAGCATCATTGCACACAGTAAGTGAAAGACCTTCCAGCTGCATTACACTAGGGACACAAAGGTACTTCCTTTCCCTCCTCTAAACCTCCTGGAAGCACACAGATATTCTATCAACAAATAAACACACTGTCCTCTCTCTCTCCCACATCTTTAGCATATTCTTTTCTAGGTGAGGCAAACTCCACGCTGTCCAAACAAAATCTCTTTGCAATGTAACAGTGAGTGGGATTTCTAAAAATTTAGGATTAGTCTATCTTTATTCCTAGTGCATCATTCATACACTGACCTTCGGAAGCTTCTGAAAAATGCTATTTTAGCAACTCTGCAGGTCTTGTAGTCTGATGTCTAAGAGTCTAAACAACTCTGAGAACCTAAATCCAAGTTTTCCATCTTGTTTTGCTAAGCTGTGCTACTGCCATGTAGTACTATTTGTAAAGGAGCTCTTATTTTTTCTGAGAGGCAAGTATCACAGCAATAATGAAGACAACTTTATCAATATCTTCCTCTGAAGGTACAGAAAGATTTATGGGTAACACTTGCAAATTAAAAATCAGAATTCTACTGGAACAGAGACCACTGATTTTTAAATCAGATGGGCAACACCAAGGGAATAAAAAGCTGTAAATCAGCAGACTTTTTTTGTTGTTTCCCTCACACTCACATGGCTTGAGCCTGTGAGAGCAGCTGACCAAATTGGTCCTGCAATAAGAAGGCACAGCAGCCAGCTTGTGAGAATCAGCAGCAGTACCCAAAGACAACTGAAGGGCAGGGGAATGGATATAAGCACATTTTCCTACCCTTCCACAGACACCGAATACAAATCTAACTCAGTGTGTCTTCACTAGCACAGAACAGAAATGATGGATCTAACACTCCCTTCTCAAAACTAAACATTTCTTAGTAGAATTCAGGCAGGACATATATCCAGAATTGGAATCAGGAACGTGGTTATGAAACAGAACCTGAGAAAATGCCAAACAAAAGAACAAAACTATAAGACCTCTGCTCTTCAGAGATCTTAAAAGAACATTCATAAGCATATGACCATTTTCTTTAGTGTTTCATTCTGTGATTCATTACTATTACTAACTCTTAGTATCACTTGTGCACTCCAGCAACAGGGTCCCTTAATAGCCATGGTAAAACCACTGCAGTAATTGGCTCCTGGTCCAAGAAACTTACCATGTGAAAAAGAAATTAAAAGTTAAATGAATTTAAAATAAATGCAGTTTCAAGAACATTCATTAGAAACTTAAATCAGTGAGAGCAGTAAGAAACAGTGAAAAATCTTCACTGCTAAGAAGAACCTCCTGGTAAGGTATTGCCAGAAAATATCAGTATCCCTGCCCTATTCCACTGAAAGAAAAGGAAATTATTAAATAGTATATGAAGTCCTGTATCTTGTGTACGAGGATGACCTTACAAGATCTGCCAGCAAACACAGTGTGTAATGTTTAATGTGTGTGTTTTGTTACAGCAAATTCCTTACATTGTGTTTTGTGCAGAGCTCCCGCACCCCGGTGAGATAACCTTTGTGAGGAACAACCACGCCTGCTTCACCTTGAATCGGTTCAACCATGAAAGCTGCTACGTTGGGATCCTGAAGGGCCCGCTGTAAAAATGGACATATGGAAAGATAAAAACAAACAAACAAAAAAAAAACTTCTACTCAGATCCAATTTAGAAAATAGGGAGATGAATACAAGTAGCAGAATCTAGCTGTAACCCTGGTGTGCTACCTCAATTATGATAACAGTATTCATGTCAGGCACTTATCCCCAAGTGCCATTTCAGTTCCACCACCACAGAAGCCACAGATGTCACTACTTGCCTTGAAAGATCAGCTGGTGTGCTCGCTTGGGAAATCATAAACCTTAAAAATTGCAAACTCAGACAAGCAGATTATCAGATCAGTTCGTAAATTACCTCAGAAACACACTCAGTTTTGCATTACCCCATACAAGACAAACAATTGCTCAACACTTCCCTCAAACAGAAAAGAATGGAGTCTCTCCAGAATAATTTTGTCATTTCAAAGCAAAGTCCACAGCTACATTCTTGCACCATCGAGTTCTAAGAGGTTTAGAAGTCCACCAGACTCAAGAGATATAATGATTCCCAGCATGAATTTACTACAGCTTTTCTCAGTATTGCCTCATAAACAGAACAAATCCAGTTATCAGTCTGATGGATGTAGATCTAAGTTTCAGGTCTGCAGAACCTCAATAAAGTTGGCTGAAAGCCACTAAATACTTTCAGGGCTTTCACAACGGGGAGCCTTACGTAGGTACAAATCTGAGTAAGCTTTTCCACTTTGCAATTACAATACACTGAGAGACCTTCATTTCCCCTAATCAAACTCCTAGGAGGCAAGCATGACTGTCCCATAAACCCTCCAGCCTCCATAGATGATTCACTTGTACTAAGCAAACCCAAAAGGCACAGAGGAACCTCTGGAGATGATGTACCCAGATGATGGAAAAGCTTCAGGACTATCTGTGTTTGGCTAGAACCTTCTTGTCTCCCAGGTCCCAAGTCCAGCACCCTATGGCTGCAATTAAGCACCATCTACCCCTGAATACCTAAGCCCACATTGTGAGGGTGGGTGACTAATCAAGGTCAACCCACCCCAATAGCTTTACAGGATCATTTAGGTTGGAAAAGACCTTTAAGATCACTGAGTTCAAACATAAACCTCACACTGCCAAGTCCACCGCTGAACTGAGTCCCTAAGTGCCACATCTATATGCCTTTTAAATACCTCCAGGGATGGTGACTCCACCACCTCCCTGGAAAGCTTTTTCCAATGTTTGGCAACCCTCTCAGTGAAAATATTTTTCCTAATATCCAATCTAAACCTCCCCTGGTGCAACTTGAATCTGTTTCCTCTCCTGCTAAAAACGAGAAGTGAGAAACCTCTCAGAAAACCCAGGGAAATGCTGCGTTTCAGCAGCTTCAGTGAAACTCCAGCCTAGCATGGCTTTAAGGATGCTGTGAAACTGGAAAGACTTGTTTGCAACCACAGTGAATTCTAGTCATCTGGTTATTGAAGAATGCAGAGCACTGCTGAGAAAAGCAGGTAAAGATATTAGTTTCAGAATCCAAGTCCTGATTTTGGAATGTATGCTGCTGGCCAGAATTCCCTTCAGTTCATCTACCATTCTCCTTTTGTACCTTGAACATCTTAGTGACGTGGGAAATGAAACAGATCGTGTGGTTTTCCTTTTATATTCTAAAGCAAAACTGAAAATCAAAACCAAAGCAGAATTTACACATAAATCCTATATGTAACTATAACATATATATTCCCTATATATGTGCAGATATCTTCATATCAAAGTACATGTTTCAAAGCATAAACTTCTGATTTTCCCACCTTGCTATTTACCAAAGAGACATTGCAAAATGGTTTCTTACAAGAGAACAAAAATTGTCAAATACCTCAAGAGCTGGTAGGTCATTGTATGGGATCAGCTCAAAACCTGGCATGAAGGGTCCAAATCCATCATAGCTGGATGGGTCAGTAGAACTAGAGATTGCAGACATGGTTCTGCCCCAGAAGTTGCCAGCTAAAAATAACCAAGAGGGATTGTTACAAAACTAAGAGACTGAACAGTTTATAGGACATCACAGTTCCCATTTGGTAATGTATTTTAAGAGTTGTCTAATATTAGATTATTAGCATCATTCTGCTAATTGTTAGCGTTTTCCATTGATGCCATAAATGCATTAAGCTGCTACATCAAAAGCACATACCAAAAAAAGAAAGAAAATTATACTGTAAAACCTGGCAAGTCCATAAAGTAACTTCCATAAGCTTTGTTAGTCTGAAAAAAAATAACTTAGAAAGAGAACATCTTTTTAAGGAAGATGTACAACTTTTACATAACTCTTACTCATTAAATGCAGAAGAAATAAATGTAAACACCACCCAGAACTTAGGTCCTAAAAATAAAGCTGCCAGTAAGCCTCAATCAAAAAACATTGTGACATGACACTATTTCAAATACAAACATCAGTTAAAATGTCTAGGAAGCCACTGTCACCAAGATTGTGATCTATTTATTTTAATATTTCAGTTAAATCAACATACTCTCAGCTAATTAATAATAAGGTGCTTAATAAGATAAAGGAAGATTAAGGGTTCAATGTCTTCACAGTGTTACAAGCCTTGTCTTTCCCTCACCAATTTCTTTGTGTAACTGTGGTCCTACAGGCAGGGGATGTTCTCAGTCTGCAGAAAACCCTGAAGCCCATGATTAGGGACGCAGCCAGCTCCAGGCATCCCTTCTTTCTAATCACCAGTGTGAACAGCATTACACTGTGCACCCCAGCCACGTCTCGGAGCAGAACAATCCCTGCCCTGCTTTGCTGATCACACGCTTATCACCTCGAGGTTACGTTAGTGCAATCCTCTGTGTCCTGAGGGTGGAATCCCATGAAGCAGAGCAGTTTATCTGCTGATGGTGAGCTGTCTCCACCCTGGCACTCCAGCCTCCCTATTGGGTTGCAAAATCTACGTCAAGTTCTCTGGACTGATGTTTAAAGCCATTATTTGTCCTGACCCTAGCTACCCATGAGAGATTTTTTCTGCCAAAACATTGGCTTCTGATAAGAGAAGGATTATTATAAAGCTGGGGAAGGACTTTTTATAAGGGCAGTTAATAACAAAACAAGGGAAAATGGGTTTAAACTGAAAGAGGGGAGGTTTAGATGAGATATTAGGAAGAAGTTCTTCACTGTGAGGGTGGTGAGACACTGGAACAGGTTGCCCAGAGAAGCTGTGGTTGCTCCTCCCTGGAAGTGTTGAAGGCCAGGCTGGATGAGGCTTTGGGCAACCTGGTCTAGTGGAAGGTGTCCCTGCTGCTGGCAGGGGGGTTGGAACTGGATGAGCTTTAAGGTCCCTTCCAACCCAAACCATTCTGTAATTCTATTTTGTTCCAACTACGTGGCACATAATTAAATCCTGCAGTTAAGGAAATGGGATCATAATAATGGAGAGCATATCCAATTTATCAAGATAAGAAAGCACTTACTAAAAGTTAATTGACTGAAGAGCAAAACAAAACATATATGGAAGAGAACGAGGGAGAAATATATTTGTTCAAAGAATTCCCAGAAGAAAGAAAAAAAATAATCTAATCTAATTGGTCCTAGAAACCATGCTGCAATATTCAACTATGAATTTCAATTTATAAATGCTGTCTCATGACAGTTTATGGTTTAGATATTACAGGTACCAAAAATATTTGCAGCTGTAGCAATTTTTAAAAAAAGAAGTCACTATTTAAGTAGTAAGCTGTATTCTGGAAGGTTTTATAAAATACAGAACCATTGAACAACATCAGAATTGACAAAAATACTTCACCTATAACCAAAGAATAACAAATGTAAGTTATATGAATTGGACTTTTTTTTTTTTCATTATTTTTATTCTTTTTAGCAAAGCACAATAGTCTCTTCAGGGGCAGCTAACTTCTCCCTGTTACAGAGCCAAGCAGAGCAGGCAGATGAAAGGAGGAAGTTATATCACGTATATAATCAGGACTTTCCAGGGCCCCATATTTACTTTAGCAATACTGCTTTTACTTTCATTGTATGATCAAGATTAGAATATGGCTTTACTGGGTTAATGCCAACTTCTGGAAGACCTTAAGAATGCAAAAGAAACCACTGGTATGGAAAGCTTAAGAGGGAAGCAGGCTTAAGGCAAATGTGGAATCTCTGAGAGAGGTGGCAGCAATCTGAGGCATGAATTCCAGAGAAAGGTATACAAAAGTCGACCAATTAGGAATAAAAAGATAATACACTTTAATACCAGCAGTTAAAAGAGCATGGAGGACTGAATGCAATTCCATGTGACTTCAGGCAGTCACTCATCAATTTTTCACAACTAAAAAGGTTAAGTACTATAAAAAAGGTCCACTTTATTTATTCAATTGCTGTTTATAAAGCTTTATAAACCACCGTGTTAACTACAGTTTCCTTCTTGGATTTAAGTTCAGTGTTGCATTTCCCTTGTAAAAACAAACATTACCAGCAGCTCCTGACAAAGCCCAACTCTCCTCACTGCCTCTTGATGCATACACCTCCACAAGGGAGAGGATCTGAAATTAATTTGTCATAGGAATTATATCTCCTACATTTACCATCACTTCTGTTAAGATCACATGCATTTCTTAAAGGACATTGCATTTAAAAAAAAAAATGTTTATAATTAATTTTAACTATTTAAGGTTAAAAACAAATAGCCAGAAGCATACACAGAATATTTTGGCAAGAGGATAAATTTAAGACTGAACTTTACCATTTAGAAGGAGGCACTTAACAAACCTTAAGGTCCTGCATAGACTGTTGTAGCCACAACAGTAGGGGTTTTTTTTTTAAATAAGAAAAACCAACTGCAGATACATGAGTAAAAGGTTGAGATCTTAGCATATACTATAAAAACATCAAAGGTTACAGAGACCATCAATAGACTTGCTTCAGTAAAAAAACAAAACAAAAAAAACCCCCCAAAACCCCAAACATCATTAAAAATACTGCAAAGTAGTTACTAGGAAGAATACTACAAAGTAATTAGTGCAAAGTAATCACTACAGCTATAAGAGAAAAGAGTTCTACAGTCTGGAGCTCTCTTCCTTTCCTCCTCAGTGCCTCAGCTCAAAATATGTACTTTACCTACCTGCAAAGATAATTTTTGCTTTGTATTTTGGAACTCCTTTCACAGTGTACGCCCACTTCCGAGCCAATTTACAGGCAGTTTCTCCAGCTTCCACTCCTAAAGCAAAAAGCAACACCATAACTACACCTGTGACACGAGACAGGCCATCGATGCAGTACCCAGTGTTACAAAATGGTGGAAACTCACAGACAAGAAATAAAAGGGAAATAATTTGGGGTTTTTTACCTGTGTTCATTGGAAGAACTTTGTTATAATTGAACATTTTGGTGACATACTCCTCATATTCACCGAGGACATCGTTGTAGAATGCTCTGGATGTAAGGGTCAGTTTTTCAGACTGAGTTTTCAGAGCGTTCACGATCTTTGGGTGACAGTGGCCTTGGTTAACAGCACTATAAGCACTCAGAAAGTCAAAATACTTTCTACCTTCAACATCCCACACGTAAACACCTAGGAAAACAAAGGTAAGGTCAACACACAAAATAAAAGAAGACATGAGATAAGACTAAATGGTAAAAGCCAAGAAGCATTTCCCCATGAAAGTTGCTATTCCATTACATTAGTAAGTAATATGAGGACATTACTTTGCCTCCAAGTCTCTCTTCTGGGTCCTAAAAAGTAGATAGAGAAGAATACTTTTGAAAGAGAATTAATAAGAATTGGAGGTCATGAAAAAAAGGATAAAACTAACAGGACCCAAATAGCCTCAAAATTTAAGAGACTGGCAGCTCTGTCAAAATGTGTGCTGATAAAGAAAAAATATTGGATATTTCAGTGTAAGCTCATAGAATTCAACCTGCAAAGCACAAAAGCCCCTTAAACATAATTAAAGACCAGAGTAAATTTAAATTAAGCAATAATACAGGAACAGTACACAAGGATTTACACAGGGTTCCAATGAACCTTTTCACATTAACATTAAACCTCTCCACACAAGGTAACAGAAGAAACAAAGTTGCTTGAAACTTTCCTCCTGAGTTATTCTGACTTATGAAGATGATCAGAACTTAGACCTCTAGATAAATCATTTTACAGAGTAGAATTTTATCAGGCAACCTTATGCATAAGGATCCAGTTCTCTGATCAGCAATTAGCTGTCTTTATTTCATCAATTATCTCAATCCCATCTACCTCCCCCCCCAAAAAAAAAACCACAAAACCTCAAAGGCTCAGAAATTTATTAGATGAAAATCATTATGCCATGATCCCATCCCATCTATACCACCCAGGGAAACCTGAATAAAATACCTTTTCCTTTTTCAAGAGCAACAGGGAGGGGGTGGTAATTGTGGGCACCATATTTAGCTTCACGTTCAAATATGAACTCGGAGGATGGAGATCCTTGGATGGTTTTTTTAGTAGCCACTGAGGTAGCAGAACTCAGCGAAGCGTGAACACCTCGACAGAGAACAGCAAGGCTCTGCGAGCGGGCTAGCTTGGAAAACATTATTGACTTCAGGTATGCTGTGATAGATCTAGGGGGGGAAAAAGAGAAAGGAAGTTAATAATTAGCAGTAAGAATACTTCAGAAGAGATGTATGACGTGATTGAAGTGGTTTTACTGTGCCAGGATTGCAGGTTTCTCAACTTTTTTTTTCAATTAAATCAAGAAAGCTTTTCTGAAGTATAAGTGATTGCAGTATAACTTCAAATAAGTATATTTTTTCTATTTTAACATACAGTAATGGAAACAAAACCGTGTGACTCACCACATCTATGAACTAGTGACATAATTTCTCCTCAAAGTGTCCCTTTTTCATAGTGCCTTAAATTGTGACTAGGTTTATTAATATAAACTATCAGAAGAAAGTTAAGTTTATCAAACTTCTTGTGCTATTGAAATGCCTTTTGTCTTCACAAAGATTTCCATGAGAAAAATCTTGTCACAAAAATCAGAAAGTAAACAATCTAACGCTGGAAAGAAGCACTTGACACAAATAATGTTGAGCTGATAATGAAATTTGATAAAGGATTGATTAGTTTTAACTGAGGTCAGCTCCAAGAAGCAAAATTTGTGACTTTTTGTATAATCTGCATTCTTGATTTTAAAATGTTGCCACCTACGTACAAAGCACTCACTGTTAGCAGCGTTTTAAGACCATGAAAATATAGACAAAAAGTAACAGCATGTCAGATATTAATGATCACTATAGCACCTTGTATTTTCTTAGTGAAACACAGTGATTTCCCCTGAGTGCATAACTTTATGCTGTTAGAATCTAAGGATAATCTCAGGGTAGGATCCTGTGAGACAAATGCGCTCACATTTCCCCCCTGTGCATTCACAAGATGGAAGGGAAACCGAGCTGGCATTTTAAAAGCAGCTGAAGCAAGCTCTCCTGCAAGCACTGAGTACTGGGGACAGCAGAGAGCCATCAAGGAAACAACAATCCCTTTAGCAAGACCAAGAGTTCTCAAAGCTCAAGTTTCTCATCTTGCAGAACATCACACGTAGAAACTGGCAAAAGGAAGATCAGAGATCACAATGGCAAGTACTCTGGTTATCAAATGCAGCCTCCTTTGTAACGTGCTCCATAGCAAACTGGAGAGCTGAGTGACCTTGACACTGTTGTGCTACCAAACAACAACAGGATACTGTAAAACTTAACTAATATACAGTTATTAAATATCAACAGGAGAATACAGGGATATATATAGAATCATGGAATGGTTTGGGTTG